TTCTGATCAAAGGACTAATATCCAGGACATATAAAGAACTATCATTCACTTGGTCGGTGTGACTCAGTGGTTGATATTGACCTATGAGCCAGGTTACTGTTTGATTCCCAGTCAGGGCATATACCTGGATTGCAGGCTGATACCTGGTGTGGGGCATGCAAGAGGCAGCCAATCAATGATTCTCTCTTTATCACTGATGTTTCTATCTCCCCTTCTTCCTTCCTCTTTCAAATCAATAAAAACATTTAAAAAATAATATAAAATATCAAATGTGGTGAGGATGTGGAGATATTGAAATCTTCAGGCATTGTTGGTGGAATATAAAATGGTTCAGCCACTATGGAAAACAGTATTATGATGGTTCCTTAAACAAACATAAAATTACTATATGATCCAGCAATATCACTTCTGAGTCTACAGTTATGGATGAAAAAACAGAGTCTGTAATATCACTAAGAAAGTAACCTCACAGAGTGATCTGTTCATAAATTGCTAACTGGAAAGGTGAGAGTGGGTAGTCACATGTCTAATGTCATTCTCAGCAGTGTTTGAGTTCTTGCTTCCCAGCAATTGTCATCAGTTTAGTTCTGTGGGGGAGCAGGTGACTTGGTTAAAAAGTTTGTAAGGAGAAAAATTCCAAAAAAAAAAAGAAGTGGGCTGAAGACGGCCCAACCTGTTTATCAGAATTCCTATTTAGGGGAGTTTGGCCAAAGGTATCTGCCCATAATTGTTTCTTGACCTTTCCAAAACAAGTCTGTGTATGTGCAGACCCTCAGGTGTTTATCAGAATCTTTATGCTTAATCTTTAGGTGTCCTTGCTTAAAGGACATTGCAGACACAAGTGTTCACCCAAGATTACTTACCCTACTGATTGTATCTAAAAGATAAATTTTATTTCAATGCTGTTACAATAAAAGCCTGAAGAGGCAGATGATCAAGGCTGTCTGGCTCCTTTTGCCATGCAGTCTCTTAGCCCTCTCTTCATAGCAATCCTGCCAGAGTAATCATTCATCCATCACTCAGGGTCTGCTGATCTGCCCCAGCAAAGTGGTACCCCATGTGAGGACCAAGGAATGCAACAAGACATGGTGGAAATGAGGAGAAAGAAAACAAAGAGTAACTGCACAGTAATTGGAGTTGGCTTGGAATTTCCAAATTTGAGGGTATGTTATTCAGCTAAGGTTTCATAATAGGACAGCAGGTGTCCACTGAGTAACAGATTTCTTTGTTACTTCAATAGTTATTAAAAGCAAATTGTGCATTTATAGAAGAACAATTAAAGAGTCTGTTGCAGACTGTCTGGCTGTCGGTTTTACTAGAGGCCCAGTGCATGGATTTGTGCACCTGTGGGGTCCTTTGGTGTGGTCTGCGGGGATCAGGCCAGAACTGGTAGTCCAACGCCATCTGCTGCTCCTGCTGCAACCAACATTCGGTAGGCTTACTGCCACTCTGCTGCAGTTCTCCTTAGGCTTTATTATATACTGGAGGCCCAATGCACAAAATTCATGCAAGGGGCTTGGCCCTCGCAGCCTCGGCACTCACAGCCCCAGCTTTGTTCTGAAGGACATCCAGAAGGTTGTTTGGCTGTCCAGTCTAATGAGCATATTATGCTTTTATTATTATAGACTAGGGGCCCAGTGAACTAATTTGTGTACCTTGAAAGGAACCGTGGGCCACGAGACTGCGGTGGACAGAAGGGCAGGTCTCAGCCCATCCTCCTTACCCCTGCCCGGCCCCTCCAGCCCTACCCCTGGTCCCCTCTTTGCTAGCAGCCCATTCCCACTGTTGCCGCTCCCACACACTGCCAGTGTGGAGCAATTGGGACCGGCACTGTCAGCAGGTGAGAGCAGCAGCTGCTGCCTTGATCACCTCTCAGGAACAGGGGGAGGTGGAGAATCCCTGAGGGGCAATTGGAGCCGGCAGCCACCACTAGCACCCATTGATGGCACTGAGTGGTCGGGGCCAGCACCAGGTACCAGCAGCAGGTACAGCAGTGGCTCCGGCACCGGCAGCAGGTGTGAGTGCTGGGTAGGACTGCAGCACGTGGGAACAAAGAATTTTCAGTAACCACCAGAGGCTCGCCCTGATGATAGCGACTGGCACCCTGCCTTGGTCTGATGCCTCCGCTCACCTGCTTCACCATCCTGCTGCGGCTGATGCCTGCCATGTTCTGCGCTCTGCCTCCTGCTGCCGATGCCTGCCATGTTCTGTGTGCCCTCAGGTGGTCAGCACACATTATAGCGACTGGCTGTTCAGTTGTTCTGCTGTTTGGTCTATTTGCATATTTGGGATATATATACCGTATTTTTCGGACCATAAGACGCTCTGGACCATAAGACGCACCAGTTTTTAGAGAAGGGAAATGAAGAAAAAAGATTCTGAAACAAATAGTGTCCTAAAATATTTATGTGCATTAAAACCCAACATCACAGTCGTAAACACATGTAATCAACCCTGTAAAGTAAACAGCAGCATTTAGAACCATTTTAGAGCCGGGCAAGCACACAGAGACCACACAGAGCCGGGCAAGTAAAAAAACTTGTTTTTAAAAGTATATTTGTAGGCTATATTTGGACCATAAGACGCAGGGACTTTTTCCCCCCACTTTTGGGGGGAAAAAAGTGTGTCTTATGGTCTGAAAAATACGGCATATATATATATATATATATATATATATATATATATATATATATATATATATATATTTTAGAGGCATGGTGCACAAAATTCATGCAAGGTGGGGAGTTCCCCTCAGCCCAGCCTGCACCCTCTCCAATCTGGAATGTCCCTCTCACAATCTGGGACCACTGGTTCCTAACTGCTCACCTGTCTGCCTGCCTGATCACCCCTAACTGCCTCCTCTGCCGGCCTGGTCACCACAACTGACCACCCTGCCACCCTAGTTGCCCCCAACTGTCCCCCCACCCCCGCCAGCCTGGTCACCCTAACTGCCCTCCTGCCAGCCTGGCCGCCCCACACAGCCTGCTGTTCAGTCATTTGATCATCCCTCACTAACCCCCCTGCTGGCCTGGTTTCCCCATGCAGCCTGTTCAGTTATCTGTTTGGTTGTGATGGTCACTTAGGCTTTTATATATATAGACTAGAGGCAGGTGCATGAAAATTCATGCATTGGAGGGGGGTTCCTCTGCTCGGCCTGCCCCCTTTCACAGTCTGGGAGTCCTCAGGGTTGGGAGACGACCCGGTGATCAGAGGAAAGCAATGCCTCCATCACACCTATGCTGCTGCCACTGCTGGCAGCACAAGTCTAGGCCGGCCCTAGTTATCTGAGCCTCGGGTGGCCCTGGGTGGCTGGGCAGCCACCATCCGAGGCTTGCCTGCACCTCGGGCCGGCCCTGGCTGACTGGGGGGCTGAGGGGACTGGGGACTCTGGAGGCAGGTGCACCTGGGGATTGGCCCCGCCATGTCACATGCCTGCTGCCCTGGTGGGGCTGAGGGGACTGGGTGCTGCCATCTTTGAGGATGTAGCAGTCAATTAGCATATTCCCTCCATATTGGCTATGGGTGCCACCATCTTTGTGAGGGTGCAATGGTAAATTAGCATATACCCTCTTTATTGGATAGGGTAGAAGAGATATAAAAGCCTGAGCGACTGTTATGACCTAACAACTGGAACAACTGGTCGCTATGACACACACTGACCACCAAGGAGCAGAATCTCAATTCTGGAGCTGTCCCCTGGTAGTCAGTGTGCTCCCAGAGCCAACCTCCCACAGCCCTTCTCTTTACCCAGCCAGCCCCCCATTGGCCCTGATTGGGGGCTGGCCAGCCAACCTCCTAAGGGACCTCACCTGTGCACAAATTTGTGCACCGGACCTCTAATAAAAGCATAAGAGGAATAGAAAAAAACAGGGCACCAGTTTCATAAGACTTTTGTTTCATTTGTCTGTTTAATCTTTCTAGGAAGCTGGCCTAAGTTAGGATGACACACAAATATAATTTTGCATGATTTTATTTTTAAAAAATATATTTTATTGATTTTGTACAGAGAGGAAGGGAGATAGTTAGAAACATCGATGAGAGAGAGTCATCGATCAGCTGCCTCTTGCACACCCCCCACTGGGGATATGCCCACAACCAAGGTACATGCCCTTGAATGGAATTGAACCCGGGACCTTTCAGTCTCCAAGCCGACGCTCTATTCATTGAGCCAAACCGGTCTCGGCTAATTTTGCATGATTTTAATTAAGCTGAGGCTTATAAGTGGCAAGCTGTTTTTTAAAAAATGTATTTTTATTAATTTCTTATACTTATGTATTGTCTTTATAGAAAAGTTAAAAAATACTGAAAAGCACAAAGAATCATTGATTGGCTGCCTTCTGCAAGCTCCCTGCTGGGGATCAAGTGCACAACCGAGGCATGTCCCTGACTGACTGAGAATCGAACTGTAACCTCCAGCTTTACAAGTTGACGCTCAATAACTGAGCCACACTGGCTGAACCTGCCTTCTATTTTTATTTTTTTACACTTATTTATTTTTATTTTTTTCTGCAAAAAGCTTTATTGTTTAATTTGATCCGATTCAGGGGAGAGGGCTCCAGGGTGGTTAAAAGAATGGCTAGTAGCTTTGGGAAGAGGCTCAGGTAAAAGCCAGAGACACTAGGGGGATGCAGAGGGGGGCGGGGGCCTCTGAAAAGTTTCTGGGCTCCAAAGGCTCCTAGTCATGTTTGAGGGAGAGCCTTTTGAAGAGATACAGGCCCAGCCCAGCCTGGGGGCAGCCAGCCTGTGGATGTTAGTTAGGTGGTCGCCCATCTTCTTGATCAGTTTCACCTCCGCATCCAGGAAGTGGTTCTCCAGGAAGTCGCAGACATGAGGGTCCGCACGTGTAGAAGCCAGGCCATTCAGCTCCAAAAGAGCCTGGTTCAGGCTCTTCTCCAGGGCCAGGGCAGCTTCCATGGCGTCCTGAGTTTTGGACCAGTCATCCTGGGAAGGTTCTCGGTAGAGAACGCAACAGTCTCGCAACTTTAACAAATGCTCCACGCCCTCTGGCTTCTCCGCCAACTCTCGGAAGAAGTAGCCCACACTGTCCAGAGCCACATCCTTGCAGTCGAAATAGTAGCCCAGAGCGAGGTACGTGTAGGAGGCCCACAGGTGCAGGTTGACCAGGCGATTGACTGCAGCCTCCACCTCAGGGGAATAATTCTGAGGAATTTGGAGCTCATAACCATTCAGCAATGAGGTGTTAAGGTAGAAAAAAACCAAACCAAACCAAACCAAACCGGTGTTTTGGCTGGTCCTGGAGGTGGTGCTGAAGGCGGTGACTGGATGAGACGCAGGAGAGTGGCTGGAAGAACTGGCGTCCCTCGGTCTGTTCCGTCCAAACACTGTTGAAGCAAGAGACAGATCCGGGATCTCTGAGAGCCCTACTGCCTACACTTATTTATTATATTTCAATCCTCACCCCAAGATATTTTTCCATTGATTTTCAGAGAGAGTGGAAGAGAGAGGGAAAGACTTAAATATTTTTGTGAGAGAAACACATCGATTGGTTGCCTCCTACATGTACGCAGACCAGGGACCAGGCCGGAGAGGAACCTGCAAGCCAGGTATGTGTCCTTCGGTCTGCAGGCCAGCACTCTATCCACTGAGCCAAACTAGATAGAGCCTGCCTTCTATTTTATTTTTAATTTAAAAAAGTATATTTTTATTTATTGGGTCGGCAACTAAGTAATTGCGGGTTTCACACATATGGCTTCAGTTGAATTTTTAGGTTTGCAGACGTAGTACAAATGTAAAACACATTTTGTTATTTGATAGTTGGCTATTCAGCTATTAATCAGTAAAAAAAGTTTTTTGATCTGTTTTGTAGTTTTCGTTTGGCGTTCATTGAAAAATGGAAAATCAAAAGGAACATTTTCGTCATATTTTGCTTTTTTATTTCCTCAAAGGGAAAAATGCATCGCAAGCTCATAAAAAGTTATGTGCTGTTTATGGTGACGAAGCCTTAAAAGAACGGCAGTGTCAAAATTGGTTTGCCAAATTTTGTTCTGGTGATTTTTCACTCAAAGATGAAAAACGCTCTGGTCGTCCAGTTGAAGTTGATGACGCCCTAATCAAAGCAATAATCAATTCGGACTGTCACAGTACAACACGTGAGATTGCAGAGAAGCTTCATGTATCACATACATGCATTGAAAATCACTTAAAACAACTTGGCTATGTTCAAAAACTCGATACATGGGTTCCTCACGAACTGAAAGAATCACAGTTAACGCCACGCATTAGCAGCTGTGATTTGCTAAAGAAACGTAATGAAAATGATCCATTTTTAAAACGACTGATAACTGGTGATGAAAAATGGGTTGTTTACAACAATATCAAGCCGAAAAGATCGTGGAGCAGGCCAGGTGAACCAACTCAAACAACATCAAAAGCTGATATTCATCAAAAGAAGGTTTTGTTATCAGTTTGGTGGGATTACAAAGGAATTGTCTACTTTGAACTCTTACCACCCAACCGAACGATGAATTCTGATGTCTACATTGAACAACTAACGAAATTAAACAATGCAGTTGAAGAAAAGCGGCCCGAATTGACAAACCGAAAAGGTGTTGTATTCCATCATGACAATGCAAGGCCACACACATCTTTGGTCACTCGGCAAAAATTAATGGAGCTTGGCTGGGATGTTTTGCCACATCCACCATATAGTCCTGACCTTGCACCATCTGATTACTTTTTGTTTCGATCTTTACAAAACTCCTTGAATGGTAAAAATTTCAATAATGATGATGATGTCAAATCATACCTGATTCAGTTTTTGGCTAATAAAAACCAGAAGTTTTTTGAACGTGGGATTATGATGCTGCCTGAAAGATGGCAAAAGGTCATTGATCAAAATGGGCAATACATTGCAGAATAAAGTTATTTACTTCCATGAAAAAATTGTCTTTGATTTTCTTTAAAAAATCCGCAATTACTTAGCTGCCGACCCAATATTTTAGAGAGGAAGGGATAGGGAAAGAGAGGTAGAAACATCAATGACAAGAGAGAATCACTGATTGGCTGCCTCCTGCACATCCCACACTGGGGATCGAGCTCACATCCTGGGCATGTGTCCTGCCCGGGAATGGAATGGAACTGTGACCTCCTGATTCATAGGTTAATGCTTAACTGCTGAGCCACACCAGCCAGGCCTGCCTTCTATTTTTTTAAAAATATATTTTATTGATTTTGTACAGAGAGGAAGGGAGAGGGATAGAGCTAGAAACATAGATGAGAGAGAAACATCGATCAGCTGCCTCCTGAACACCCTCTACTGGGGATGTGCCTGCAACATGCCCTTGACTGGAATCGAACCTGGGACCTTTCAGTCCACAGACCCACGCTCTATCCACTGAGCCAAACCGGTTTTGGCCTGCCTTCATTTTTAAAGGAAATTGATTGATTGATTTGAGAATTGTTCCACTTATTTATGCATTCATTGGTTAATTCTTGTATATACCTTGATCAGGAAACGAACCTGCAACCTAAGCATATTAGGGAACAATGCTCTAACCAACTAAGCTACCTGCCCAGGGCCACGGGTCCTGCCTTCTAGAGACACCAAACTGTCTTTTCTTGTGATCCCTAACACTGGGAGCCCTGAGAACACCCCTCAAATGAGAGGAGATTGTGCCTAGCAATCACAATTGAGGAATAGTAAGATTTCCTCTCCTTCCATTTCTAAAGAGACTGAAAAAAAAAAAAACATGTCCCTTGTTGTCACGAGTGAATGTGACTTGAATGTGGGCCTTGGATAAGTTCTAGTTCCCATTCTGTCTCCCAAACTGAAAAGGTATGGACAGCACCATCTGCCTTAGAGGTTGCTGGGAAGAGCAAATGGCAGCTTAGCACAAGCAGGGCATCAGTGAGTGTTAGTCAAGCCTTGGTAGCTCAATGCCTGCTCCTTGCTCAAACATTCATATAACATTGCCCAGTGATGCTGCTTCTCTGCTGGCTTGAAAATTCAAATTCAGGGTCTCTCTCTAAACCCTGACACATCTTGAGGTTAGCTCTTTCTTTCAATATGTTTTGTTGGCATTTGGGATTTTCTCCCTATTTCTGGGCTATACAGTTCTTTCCAGGTTACTTTGTAAGCAATTTGAGAGTTTTGAGAATCACCTTTTGCTCTTTCCCTGCCGCCGCGGAGTTGCGCGGAGGCGGAGCCTTGGGTGCGTTCAAGATTCGGCTCTACCCATAACCCACCGCCATGGCCGAGGAAGGCATTGCTGCTGGAGTTGTAATGGACGTTAACACTGCTTTGCAAGAGGTGCTGAAGACCGCCCTTATCCACGACGGCCTCGCGCGCGGAATCCGCGAAGCCGCCAAAGCCTTAGACAAGCGCCAAGCCCACCTTTGTGTACTTGCATCCAACTGTGATGAGCCCATGTACGACAAGTTGGTGGAGGCTCTTTGTGCTGAACACCAGATCAACCTCATCAAGGTTGAGGACAACAAGAAACTAGGGGAATGGGTAGGCCTCTGTAAAATCGACAGAGAGGGAAAACCCCATAAAGTGGTTGGCTGCAGTTGCGTGGTGGTTAAGGACTATGGCAAAGAGTCTCAGGCAAAGGATGTCATCGAGGAGTACTTCAAATGCAAGAAATGAACAAATAAACTTGGCTTTTGTTTAAAAAAAAAAAAAAAAAAAGAGAGAATCACCTTTTGCTCAAACCCTTTGAGGGGGATCTAGGAGGAACTTCGGGCTGTGACTAGATTTTCAATGGACTCACCAAAGAAGTTTAACCCAACCTTGACCCTGGAGTCTTCTCAGCTGCCCCGTGAAGATTCAGCTGACACTGAAGCTGTCTCAGATGTACTAGCAAAGAACCTTGGTAACTTAACTCTCAACCTAGTACCAAATACCCTTCCTTTTTACAGAACGTTCATTCCAACAGTAGGACAAAGTAAAAAACTTACAGGAGCTTGGACTAAGGCCATAAAAAAAACTTAAATGCCTTGGCCCAGCCTCAGCCCAAGCCATGCTCTCAATAGATGTGGAGTGAGGACATTGGCAACTGATCAGGAAAAAAGGATAAGTTATTAGATACTGCACTAAGTATCTAGTTCAAAAAGACCCACAGGAAAGAAAACAAAACTGAATTAAGATTCAGGAAAAAAATTTATTTTTATTCTCAGAGGGATAGTGAAACAAGGAAGGGGTTAGGATAGAAGCAATAGGAGAAAGCCTAGGCAGTGCTACTTTGCTCTCCAGAACTACAATATTATAGGAAAGAAATGAGCCTAGGCTGGGCTGCTGTCAGCTCACTGGAAAGTCAGAGAAGAGGGGACCTTGGAAATAGGTTCTGGAGATTAGCCCGGGATGAGCTACTGCTATTACTCCTCATTGCTTCCGGGTTGCAAGTCTTGCAGGGTCCCTTAGAGTTTACGTGATGTGTGCCTGTCAGGAAAGGAGAGGGGGAAGGGATAGGCTCAGGTGTGCTCCTGGGAGGGAGCACACCTAGATTAAAAAAATGTAGATGCAGTTGTCATTATTGCCTATATCATGGAGATCATTCTGGTAATATTAGCATGGAGAATAATTATGACATGGAATCGATTTAGCCTTAAACCTTAATCTTGTGCTTTTTTTCTTGCTAGTAATTTTAATAAATATGTTTTAAATTTATTTCAGAGAGAGCGATAGGGAGAAATGGAAACTTCATTGATGAGAAGCATTATCAGCTGCCTCCTGCACACCCCCTACTGGGGTTGGAGCCTGCAACCTGGGCATGGTACCTGACCGGGAAAAGAACTGTGACCTCCTGGTTTATGGGTGGACATTCAACCATAAACAGCGCCTCATCTGCTGGGCTCTTGCTAGTAATATTAAGGTCGTTATGCAGCAGATGGGCAAACTACTCTATGCTAGGATAGATGTATACAATATTTTGATAACTTACAATAGAAGTTCTGTGCTATCTTTAATTTATAAGGCATCTATGTAGTGTGCATTTGAAAATGACTTCAATATACAATACTTCAGTTCCTTTTTATTTGACTCAAAAAAGCACTTATAAGTCTTGTGTGTTGTGTTTTAGAAACCTGAAGTCAGCAAGATGAAACCCACCATCAAGAATTAGAAGCAAGTAACTTGTGTGGAAGTTACATTTATTGATAGAGCATGGCTTGGGCTGAGGCTGGGCCAAGGCATTTAAGTTTTTTTTATGGCCTTAGTCCAAGCTCCTACTTTGTCCTACTGTTGGGAAGAACGTTCTGTTAGAAAAGAAGGGTTCTTGAGCAAAGAAGACCTACAGATATGACCCTATGTGAAAAAACCAGACAGGCAAAATTTTGCACTTACAAAGTAGTTGAATTATTTATTGGCATTAAAAAAGCATTCCTTTAAACACTAAACTCTCACCCCATCTTATGAAAACTTAAAACAAAATTCTCCATAGTCATACACAAGTTAATCACCAGGAGCAAGAATTCGAGTTAAATTAACGGTTCTGCTGAGAAAACAAGGGGAAAGCGGGAGTGGGCGCAAAGTTCTTGCTTTCACACTAGAATATTAAAGAAATGTTTTATTCATTTTTTACAGAGAGGAAGGGAGAGGGATAGAGGTTCAAAAACATCCATGATAAACATCGATCAGCTGCCTCCTGCATACCCCCTACTGGGGATGTGCCCGCAACCAAGGTACAAGCCCTTGACCAGAATCGAACCCAAGACCTTTCAGTCCGCAGGCCAATGCTCTATCCATTGAGCCAAACCGGTTAGGGCCACACTGCAATATTAAAGGTACAATAATCTAACAATTCCTAGCTTAGCACAAAACCGCTTCCCATTGTTTCAAGGCAGACATTTAATTATCAATAGTCCAAGGGCTAAGGAAATTTTCAAATAACAGGAGCATACCCTTTGGTTGTAAGCGTGGCCTGCAGCTAAGGAGCCAAGTTCTTAAGAACCGGTTGACACACTCTTGGGAAAGCGAATTCACAGAATCTCCAGCATCCGGTCTCAGCCTCCAGTCTATAAAATGCGGCACTGGTGAGGGGGTGGGGAGGAAAGACAGCTAGGCGTCCAGATCGAAGTCATCGCGCTCCTCATTGTACTCCAGCACGTGCCGTTTGATCTTGGACGAGTCAACCCAGGTGACGAAGTCCTCCATGCTGCGTGTGACAAGAAAGGCGGGGTCGGTGACCACGTCGGGGCCCACGCGCACGTGGCCCTGCTCCACGAAGGCCACGGCGGCCTGGAGGTGCTGTGCCATGCGCAGCTTGAGGAGCACGGTGGGCAGGCGGCGGCGGCAGAAGGACGAGGCCGTGACGAAGTCGCAGAGTTCGAGCGAGCTGCGCGTGGGCACCAGGCCAAGGGCGTACAGCTTGTCCAGCAGCGCAGCCGAGGAGCGGACGCGAAACGGGTCGCGCTCGGGCAGGTCGCGCAGGCGCCGCGCCAGCTCCCGCACGGATCGGCTCAACTGGTTGTAGCGCGTGTAGTCCTCGCGCCGCTGCAACCGATAACGACGCAACACGCGCAGTTCGTGCAGGTTTTGGTCAGTGACCTCCCAGTTCAGGAAGTCCACCTGTTTCAACAGCTTCTGCTCGTGGAACTTAAGCTTCCTCACCATGATAGCGAATGGCAGCTCCCTAAGACCCCGGGATGGGAGTGAGTTCCGGCTTCCGTGCAACTTCCGCCTTGGCGCGAGAAGACCTGGCTGCCTTCGCAACTGGGCCAATGAGAAAAAGGCTCACTATCATGTCTCCGATTTCCATTGGTGAGAGTGGGGCCACGTCCCCACAAAGTATCTCGCGATTTTCTCGCGCCATTCAAGAGGCTGGGGCCGGGCGGAGCGGGAGAGGGGGCGGAGCCTGTGGGGGCGGAGCGGGCGGGAGAGGAGGGGGAAGGGGGGGAGAGGGGCGGAGCGAGCGAGGGGGCGGAGCGGGCGGGGGGGAAGGGGGGCGGAGCGGGCGGTGGGAATGGGGGGCGGAGCGGGCGGGGGGAATGGGGGTCGGGGGGAAGGGGGCGGAGCGGGCGGGGGGGCGGAGCGGGCTGGGGGGAGAGGGGCGGAGCGAGCGAGGGGGCGGAGCGGGCGGGGGGGAAGGGGGGCGGAGCGGGCGGGGGGAATGGGGGGCGGAGCGGGCGGGGGGAATAGGGGGCGGGGGGAAAGGGGGGCGGAGCGGGCGGGGGGGCGGAGCGGGCTGGGGGGAGGGGGCCGGAGCGGGCGGGGGGCGGAGCGGGCGGGGGGAAGGGGGACGGAGCGGGCGGGGGGAATGGGGGGCGGAGCGGGCGGGGGGGAGGGGGCGGAGCGGGCGGGGGGCGGAGCGGGCTGGGGGGAGGGGGCCGGAGCGGGCGGGGCGGGCAGAGCAGTGTTAAATTGTTAGGAACCAATCCTCTGATGCCATAATCATTTCTCTCATTAGATGTCCGCCTTTTAGGGTCTCCCAAGGAAGTCTCCCCTATAAGAGCTAAACAGGAGAGCTGGGAGGAAGAGGGAAGATGGCATTTGTTTGGTTGGGTTTATGTAGTGCTAGCTGACCGTTGGGTTCATTCCACTTTGTAGAGGGCCTCCTGGAGTCCGCCTGTCTGTGGGCTGTCCTGGAAGTCCCCACCGATTGCCAGAGCCAGGTTCTTCATCCAACGAGAGGAACGGTTTTTCTGTGCTAAAGGGGCTGGGCTGCAGCGTACCTCTGAAATACAGGTTCTCTGGCCGTTTCCTATACCGGCAGAAGCGAGGTCTACACGGGAGCCAATTGGAAATCTGCACTGTTGACAGGAGTGCTACTTGATTCATAAAACACAGCAAGTTTGAGAAACTTGGGTAGCCCACGTGGGTGCAGTGGAGACACTCGGGCTGGGGATCATGGCGGGAGCCGAGGCTGGGGACGCGGCCGGAGCCCAGGCCCCGCAGCCGCAGAAGCGCTACTATCGGCAGGTGCCCACTCCCGGAGCCTGCAGTATGGACGCAAACTAATTTGCTTGACGGTGGATATGTAGTCACTTAGCTTGAGTTGACGAAGTTAATTCTGTTTCAGCTAGTTATATCTGTAATTTGTATCTGAGTATAGCGCTGCCCGATTAACTTCATTTGCTCAAGCCTTTGACCCGCCACCTTGCTTCTTCCCTATTCATTTTTTTTGTTTTGTTATTTTTTGTACTCTTTTCATTGTCTTTAAGGTGTAATATTTGATCTATGAAAAATAATATAGGTTTTATATGTAAGTTATAAAGTATAATGAATTCTTATAAACCCAACAGCCAGTTTAAGAAAATGTCACCTGGATCATTTCATCTAACTACGCTCCTGTTCTCCAGAATCTTTTGTTTAAAAGAAAGAAAAATAGTTTTCTCATTATACATGCATCTCTAAATATGCATCCTTCCCACTCAAAGTGTAGCATGTGCACCAGCAGAGAGGTCGTTGGAAATGCAGAATTTCATGCTCCAGTCCTGACCTACAGAATCACAATTTGCATTTTACAACATTACCAGGTATTTTGTACACACACAATATTTGAGAAGTGTTGCTTAGAAGACATCACACCATATGGAGTTTATTATATGTAGCTGTAGTTGTTTTTGGTTTTTATAATTTTTTAAATTGATTTTATAGAGAGAAAGGGAGAGAGAGAGATAGAAATATCAATGATGAGAGAGAATCATCAATTGGCTGCCTCCTGCATGTTCCCCAATGGGGTTGAGCCTGAGACCAAGGCATATACCTTGTTTGGGAATTGAACCATGACCTTCTGGTTCATGGGTTGATGCTCAACTACTGAGCCACCCCAGCCAGGCTGTAGTTTTAATTTTCTTTCTTTTCATTATTTTTATTGCTACAGAATATTCCATTGTTTGGTTCTAAGAAATTTATTAATTTTTTTTTCCTATTAGGCTTTTTGGAAGGACTATTTTTTTAGCAGTACTGCTAGTCACATTCTTGTAGGTCTTCTGTTGCACATATGCAGTAACTTCTAGTATGCATCTTGGAGCAAAATTGCTGAGTTTAAAGTATGTGCATGTTCAATCTTATTAGTCATTGTTGCCAAATTGTTTTTTTCTTTTTTCTTTATTTAGACTACTAGAGGCCCGGTGCACGAAATTTGTGCAGGGGAGGGTGTGTGTTGTGTGTCCCTCAGCCCATCCTGCACCCTCTCCAATCTGGGACCCTTCAAGGGATGTCCCACTGCCCAGTGGGGTCAGGCCTAACTGGACAGTTGGACAACCCTCTCACAATCCAGGACTGGTGGCTCCCAACCACTTGCCTGACTGCCTGTCTGATTGCCCCTAACTACTTGTGCTTGCCAATCTCATCACCCCTAACCACTCCCCTGCCAACCTGATTGACACCTAACTGCTCCCCTTCTGGCCCAATCGCCCCTAACTGCCCTCCCCTACCAGCTTGGTTGCCCCCAATTGCCCTCTCCTGTAGGCCTGGTCCCCCTCTAACTGCCCTCCCCTACCACCCTGGCCACACCTAACTGCCCTCCCCTGCAGGCCTGGTCACCCCCAACTGCCTTCCCCTGGAGTCTTGGGTCCTCCCCCAGCTGCCCTCCTCTGCCAGCTCAGTTACCCCTAACTTCTCCCCCCTGCTGACATGATCGCCCCCAACTTCCCTCCCCTGCCAGCCATCTTGAGATGGCCATCTGGTGGCCACATGGGGACAGCCATCTTGTGTGAGGGAGTGATGGTCAATTTGCATATTATTTTTTTATATATAGGATGAGGGTATGTTTATTAAAGCTAGGGACAGTAAAACAAGGAAAGGCTTAGCATAAATGAACTGACAAGAGAGCCAGACTGGGCTGCCTTAGCTCACTTGGAAGTCAGAGAAGGGGGCTTTAGAGATAGGTTCAGGGAGTTAGACTGGGATGAGCTGCCCCTGTGCATTGCTGCCCTGGTTGCATGTTTCCTGGGGATCTTAGAGTTTAGGAGATGAATGCCTGTGGGTGAAGAAGTGAGGAAAGAAGTGGGGGGAAGGGATGGTATGGATGTGCTCCCTATAGGGAGAGTGCAACTATATTGCCAAGTTATTTAACAAAAGGGTTGTACCAATTTATATTCCTTTGGTAATGCATGAGAGTTCCCTTTTTTTCTTTATTTTTAAAAAAAGCATATTTATGTTTGTCTGGTTTGACAATATTTTTAAAAATGTTTTTATTGATTTCAGAGAGGAAGGGAGAGGGAGAGATAGAAACATCAGTGAGAGAGAATCATCCATTGGCTGCCTCTTGCACATCCCCCACTGGGGACTGAGCCAGAAATCAAGACATGTGCCCAGCCCTTGAGTGGAACTGAGACCTCCTGGTTCATAGATTGATGCTCAACCATCAGCCACACCAGCTGGGTGTGTTTCATTCTCTTTTTTTTTCTTCTTAATAGAAATGAGTATTTATTTTTTTTTTTTAAAGTATTTTATTGATTTTTTACAGAGAGGAAGGGAGAAGGATAGAAAGTTAGAACCATCAGTGAGAGAGAAACATCAATCAGCTGCTTCCTGCACAGCCCCTACTGGGGATGTGCCCGAAACCAAGATACATGCCCTCGACCTGAATCAAACCTGGGACCCTTTCAGTCTGCATGCTGACGCTCTACTCACTGAGCCAAGCCAGTTAGGGCGTTTTTTCATTCTTGCTTGTTAGTTTTTAAAATATTTGGCAATTTGGTGAGTGTGTGATGACATTTCAATGTGATTTTAATTTTCATTTCCCTGATGAATAATGGGTTCATATATGAATAATGCTCCTCCCCCCGAAGATATCCACCCACAACCTGTGAATGTTACTTTATGTGACAAAAGGGATTTTGCAGACGTGACTAAATTAAGGATCTTTAAGTAGTGAGATTATTCTGGATTATCTGGGTGGGTCCCCTGTAATTATAAGGGTCCTTATAAGTAAAAGAAGGAGGCAGAAGAGCCTAAAGAGATATGTTGATAGAAGCAGAAGTCTGAATGATGTTATTACTGCTTTGAAGATGAAAGAGGACCAGGAGCAAAGGAATATGGTGAGCCTCTGGGAAGCCTGGAAAGGCAAGGAAATAGAATTTTCTCTAGAGCCTCCAGAAGAAACATTGCCCTGCTGACACCTTGATTTAAGCCCTGAGAGATCCAGTTTGGATTTTTGAACTCCAGTATTGTAAGATAATAAATTTGTGTTAATTTCTTACAACAGTGCAATAAAAACCAAAAAACAAATGAAAAAACCACTCATATAGATTGCTTGCTTTTTTTCTAATTGATTTAAAGGTGTTTTTTTAAAAAATAAATCTTTATTCAGATTATTACAGTTGTTCCTCCCCCCCCCCCCCCCATAGCTCCCCTTCACCCAGTTCCCACCCCACCCTCTGCCCTTATCACCCCCCCCCCATTGTCCTCATCCATAGGTGTATGATTTTTGTCCAGTCTCTTCCTGCACCCAACACCCCCTACCCCTTGAGAATTGTCAGTCCACTCTCTTTCTATGCCCCTGATTCTATTATATTCACCAGTTTCTGTTCCATCAGATTTTTTATTTACTTGATTTTTAGATTCACTTGTTGATAGGTATGTATTTGTTGTTCATAATTTTTATCTTTACCTTTTTCTTCATCCTTTTCTTAAACAATTACTTTCAGCATTTCATATAATACTGGTTTGGTGGTGATGAACTCCTGTAGATTTTCTTATCTGTGAAGCTCTTTATCTGACCTTCAATTCTGAATGATAGCTTTGCTAGGTAGAGTAATTTTGGTTGTAGGTTCTTGCTGTTTATCACTTTGAATATTTCTTGCCACTCCCTTTTGGCCTGCATAG